CTAAAGGCGTTTTGGGGATGGTTACGGAGGCTTCTGGCTCTTCCTGCCTTTCATTCAGCTCCCAAGGAGAGGAAAAGCGAGCCTCAGAGCCATACTTGTGTAGCCAACGCTTCTGCAGATGGAAAGACACATTACACACGCTGCACAGCACACGGCAGCATTTAGTAGTACAAGTTCTGGTCAGGTTCAGTTTTATTTTCAGTGTTTTCATACTACAGCCTTAAAACATCTTTGATACAATATCAGCTACGAAGGTTCCAGCATACTGCATGGAGGGCCTGGTGCTTCCCATAGTTTCCAAACGGCACGGGAGAATATTTCTCTTTACGAAGATAATGGTAGAGGCTTTGGAATTAAAAAGCTGCATTTAAATTCCAAGTATTCCATGAGGTGGACAGTTCGCAGAGAAGTTTTAGCACCGCTTCCTGATGACAACCAAAGACTAAAGTTCTGGATTCTCGCCAGCATCCTGGAGCAGGGTATTTTGTCCTCAGCCCTCCTCTGCTCTCAGGTCACACGCAGGGTGTCTGACGTGCATTGTCCAAGAGAAACCCAACTACAGCAAGAAGCTGTAGGATGAAATTTGGGGGTTGAGCTGACAGACTCAGTTGCTTTGAGGATTAGGATCGGTACCTAAAACTACCATCAAAAGCCAAGTTGAAACTGGTGAGACTTAAGCGCAGCTTGGAATTGGAGAAAAACTGCCCTGACTAACCCTATTTTCCAAAACCCACATTCTTCAGTTATTCTGAGAATTATAAACATTACAGAAAGAGGTAACTAGAAAATGACTAGCCTGGTGTTCCTCTTATATCAAAGATGCAAATAAAAAGGTTTCAATTCATAAAACTTTTTTTTTTTTTTAAAAAACACAACACAAAAGTGAGCATGAGTGAATCTAATAAAGGATTTCATGTTATCCTTAAGGGGTTAATAGTAGCAGAAAAAAATAACCTGTTTTTTTTTTTTTAAAAAAAAGCTAATTCTGAAAAAAACTATGTTTTGTTCTACACTCATAGCACATAAACGTAAACAAATTTTGTTGTAGGACTGAGGTTTAGTATTTTACAGGATTCCTCAGTAGAACCCTAGTCCCAAAGCAAAGAAAGCCAGGACACAATATGGGCGGTGTGATACCACAAAGGCTTTAGACTAGGGAGCATACCTACGGGGTATTTTAAAAAAAAAAAAAAAAAAAAAAAAAAAAGCAACACCCCCCAACCAACAAAAAACCACCACTTGAATATGGCCAAAGTGATTTTTTTTAATCATGACTTTGAACTTTAACTCTTCTACTTACTAAAAAGAGAACTTCTCAGAAAAGGTTATTTAGAAACGTCATGCATTTTCTAGCTGAATCAGCCATTCTTCAGTTAAATTCTGGAAGTGCCTTTTACTCTCCATCAAGGGGCGGGGAGGAGGGAAGAGGCCAATGCAATTTTCCTTAAAAGTTCAAAAAAAAAAAATCACATCAGAGGAGAAAAGAAACCAAGAATCTTCACCAGGATTTTTGACAAAAAAGGAATACAAACCCAGGAGAAGGTACACCGAAATCCCGATGCATCTTTAAAAGTGGTATAGGTATTTACATGAGCGCCTCGCAACCCCAGGGCTGCATCGGGACCCTCCACTGTGCTGAGACCGCACAGCGGCCACAATTGTTCTAACAGCGTGCAGATTATTACAATGGTATCTTATTTCAGTTCACAAGCATTTTGATTTAAGCCCTTAATATAACAGTAATGCAAGGAGTCCCTGACACCCAGATTTGAAAGAAAAAAAAGCATCTTACCATATCCTTTGTGTGCAAGTCTCAACCTATGTTTTTATGTGGTCACTGAATTATGTCTGACAAAATGCCTCTCACAGAAAGAAGAAACTTATGAAAATAATGCAGAAACAAAATGAAATCAGAGTGAATTGATTTAAATGCATGCTGTTTTCCCCAGAAGGTACAAAAGTTTATGGTTTGAATTTATCTGGGAATTAGACAAAAAAACCCCAGCACTCGTAAACAGTAAAAGCATCTTCAAACAGAAAGGCTCACCATGTTTCAGCCTTGTGGACAAACTTAAGTTCCTTAATCTGCTGCAACTGTCAGAGTTGTCAGTTTTTGCCAATTATCTTAATGTTCTATATCTTAACAGTACGTCCAGCGCAAACTATATTCAGATTGTTTGCTCAACTCATCTGTGCCAGAAAGGAACAATTACATTATTTTCAATTACCACTACCATTGCCTGAATTTGAATTTGCAACAGTAAATGTAAGGCTAGATGGGAATGCTTTTACTGAAAACTACTAAGGAATCAGAACTTGAGTTTATGCGCATTTTTGATTGGTTGTTTTATGTTAATATTCCACAAGATACACATTTCATTTATAATACCTGAACTACAAATGGATTTTAAATTAATCTCTGACACAGTTCTCATTTTGTAATTCTACTGTGCTCTGATTTTATTTTTTTTTTTGTTTTCTCTCAAAATACAAATGTAAAACCAAGCCAAGTAGTACTGGTTAAAGTTATTCCTCTGAGATGACAATCTTTAAAAAATACAAACTGTACAAAAAAATACCTTCACCACAAACCCCAAATAGTTAAAACTATCAACTATAATGTGGTATACAGCCATCTTGTGAATGTCAAGGCATGACATATAAGAAAAACATCACAACAAACGCTCATTTAAATCTCGCCACTTGTTTCTTTTCACAGAGAGCAAAAATAAAATCACATGGCAATGATAACTCCTTATCTACACAGTCGGGGATTCAGTATTTTGCAGGCTGCAGAGAGGCCAAAGCAGCAGCAAATGCCACCAGTCCTCCTGTGTCTGAACAGGTTGGGGAGCACACAGCCCTTGTTACTCAATACCATAGACCGACTTAAATTCAGCATCTATTTTGGTATAAAATCTCAACCCAGAGCCAGATTCTGTTCTCCTAGGCGTCAGACAGACAAATAAAGCAGCAATCCATATTTTCAAAGGATTGCAGTTTTTTAATTGAAGCACAGAGAGACAGATGATGCCTTAAGGACCAGGATAAGCAAACAAATTCCGTTTCAGATACCTGTTTTGATATCAGTCTTATCTGTGTGATTACATGAACTGATGAAGATGACTTACATCTATTTACTTATGCTGCACACTGTCTAGATCAGTCCAATTTCTGACACCTTCAAGGTATCTTCAAGATCTGGCTTTGCCTTTGTAGGCTGTCAAGGATCTTGTCTTCAGCTTACCCGAAGCCTATTTAAATAAACCAGTGCCAAAAGAGCCCCCAGAACATTTAATTTGCACCACATCATCACTTCTGCTGCTGCCTTCATTTTCCTTAACTGTGTCAGAACAACTGTTACAGTCCCAATCGTACAGCTTAGCTCTTCTCTACTTATAAATTTCTTCTGGTTTTAGGCCTCAACCTGACACTTCTTTAAATCACTGATAATTTGCCTTGTCTTCCATAGACAAAAGTCTTCCATGCTTTTCCCATTAACTTCTATCTTGTCCCATACAAGCAGAACATGGTCTCTAAACTAACATACAAAATTATTCCTTCTCCCTCAGTCACAAGACACCAAGAGCACATTACACTAAACTGGTAGCTAGGCAGGTGCTAGAGTAAGACTTTCTCATTCAGAAAAATAAAAGTATGGCCACAAAATATGCAGTTGGCTAATTATTATTTGATAACTAGAATGTTACAGAAACCCCAAAGGAAGACGAGGGCTCCGTTTTGCTACGGGCCACTGGTAAGGGCAATAAACTTTGTCAAAGTTCTTACAACATGGGATGTTAGGAAACCACATCTAAAAAGCTTCATTAATATTAGCAATGAGGTTAATGAAACAGCAAAAACACCTCCCAAGAGCTACAGCTTACCCCTCTATCAACTCAAACGTATCTGTTGAGCTGGAGATAGAGCCACCAGCTTGTCAGTGTTTTCGTGCCCTCAGCCAAACAGGCCCACTAAAGTGCTCCAGCCTCCTCCCATGACATAAAGGTGAAGGGATTATTTTAGTTTTTGTATGTTATAGTACAAACTCACAAGAAACCAAAATGCCTTTGCATGTCCTTATTTCTCCTTCAGCTGTTAAGTAGAAATGGCATGCGTACCAGAAGATAGAAGCAAATATTTTAAGCACTAAAAATCATATACTTCCGCAAGTGATATGGTTCATGCTATGCACCTATCTTATTATGACACAAATGATTTTTTTAAATGATTCAACTGATTAGAGCATAGCAAAATAAAAAAAAAAAAAAAAAAATCCATGCATTCTGCTACAGGAATAGTTGAAGATTTAAATGACATTCTGCCTTTTCACTTGAAGGAATAAAACAGGGTCTGATAGACGATATTAAGAAAAAGAGGTTTCCTAGCAGATGCCCTATCTTCTATATATTTACCTACAACTTTCAGATTCATACTTGAAGATTAAATGTTCCTTCTCATTAGTAACCTAAAAAAAAAAAATTCCTAAGCAAAAATTAACGTACTTAATTGTTCTAACAGTCCCCAGGAAGCAGATTCTGACTGCTACACTTGATGTACAATGCAAAGTGCTACACTTGGGACAGAGTAATCCCATAAACCAGAGCAGGCTCTACACTGAATGACCAAAGAGCAGCTTTGTAGAGAAGGACCTAAGGGTCCTGGTGGACAATAAGTTGAAGAGAAGTCAGCAGTGCACCCTTGCAGTGATGAAGGCTAACAAATAATGGGTTGCATTAGCGGGAGCATGGCCAGCAGGTCAAGAAAACCAATTACTTCCCTCTATTCAGCACTCATGAGATCACGTCTGGAATACTGTGTCCAGTTTCAGGGCCCCCAGTATAAGACACAGTAGGGCAGGTCACACAGAAGGCCACCAAGATGGTTAGAGGGCTAAAGCACGCGATGTAAAAGGCTGGGCTGAGGGAGCTGGGTTTATTTGGCCTGGAGAAGTGGGGAATATAATTATGTTCAATGACCAAGTGGCAGTTGTAAGAGGAGATGGAGGCAGACTTTCCATGGTGGTGTGCAGTCAAAGGACATAGGGCACATTCTGCAGCAGGGGGAAGCCCTACTAGGTACAGGAGAACTTAGTGGGAGGGAGGGGAGGGCGGGGAGTGTTCACAGCAAGGGTAGTCAAGCACTGGAGAAGGCTGTCCAGAGCTGTGGGATTTCCATCCTTGGAGGTGCTCAGGGCTTAGGCACAACCTATCTGACTCCAGAGTGAGTCCTGATTTGAGCAGGGGACTGGACTAAGAGATCTCCAGAGATCCTTTCCAACCTAGATCATCCCGCAATTCAATGTAGCACCCAGGAAATAAGAGCAAAACTTTCTGTATGAAAGTCCTTTTAAGTGCTCCAAACAAATGCTAATACCTTTTAACAAGCTAATATTATACTATCCTCAGTGTACAGCAAATATAACTAACATTGGGATTAAAATCCATGCACTGTGCAGTCATATGCCATAATCCACCTAGCTACTCTTTCTTCAGCTGTTACACTCCAGCCCTCTTCACTGCCTGCCCCTGCCAAATCCCAGGATAACCTTTTAACCGCCCCGTGCTCCTCAGGACTTCACCTGGCCAATCTCAATGGCCCTTGAGCCTTCCTGATCCCACACCCTCACTCACGTATTTGATTAGCAGGCATAGCATCACATCACGCGTTTCATCCAACTCCCGTAAAGTAAGAGCAGTAACAGGACTTCCAGGCAGTACAGCTGCTTAAACTAATTTTTCACTTTGTCTTGCATTTGACAAAATACCATATGTCAGGATTTCATGAAGTCAGTCATTTGCAAGTTAACTGGTCAGTTCCTGAGCCTGCTTTCCAATCTAAGAGGCTGAAACCTAACTAACCAAGCAAATTTTGTCTTTGTAGTTCCATGCCTAATACCATGGGCAAAATTTTGCCAAAAACTATTTTGCCAAAAACTAGATGTCTGTGCCAAGGCAGCACGTTAAGATGAAAGGGGTGAACTCTCATTTCAAAAATCAGCATAACAAAATGCTTTTATGTTTGATTGTGGGTTTTTTCCTTAAAAAAATGTGTACAAGAGGATCTCATTCACAGAAACAAAACCAAAGCTCTTGATATATGGAAGTTGGCATACAATCTTCATGAATCAATGACATTTTTTGAAAATAGTTTCTGTATTTTACAGCTTAAAAATCTCTACCACAAATACTTGGAAAAGATATTTTAAGCAATTATAAAGTTACTTTAGATATTACCTCAGTATAAAAAAAATACTTTTTATTAGGTTTACTACTTCCCCAAATTCAAATTCATCCTGATGTAGAATTACAAGGAAGAAAAGTAAATCAGGAGACTTGATTGTCAGAAATACCAATCAAAATAAAAACAGGGAGCTGCGTATAAGCGTAGGATCCCCTTACACTGATTTCCACAGCAAAAAGCTATCATACTGAATTTATCATAAATGAATCTGAAACAGTTTTCTCTTCGATGAACCTCATGAAGTAACAGATCCAAGTGCTGACAGTAATCTACACACTTGTCACACGCTTCTCTTGGGAAGCTTGCCATAAGTGCCTGTGCAATTCTAGAAATAGGAAAGAGCAAATAGCAAATAGTAACATTCTGCCACTGTTTGATTCCCTGAAAAATATCTTCAGCTTTTAGAATTCTTTTCTTGATCTGGCACATAACCGAGAGTATTCTCTAAATTACTTTTTCATGCAATTATAGTTTGCCGCCAGGATACTGAGGATTTCTAAACAATGACGGTGCTATGTACAGACCTCAGGACTGCAAGAGCACATTCTTACCACGGCTAACTCCTAATCTCAAAGTATGCTATGTTTCTTTTATGCTGATGTGACTTTCATATTGCATCAACCCAGAAGTATAAAAATACTGAACATAAAAAAATGCAATATTAACATGAAAGCAAAACTGCTCTACTCAATAAATTTCAGAAGTTCAAAACAGTTATATTTTGGAAAACATTATTCAGTAAGGGAAACCTTAGTTTAAAGTTCCTCGATGTTTCAAGTTGGGGTTTTCCCTAGTGTCTCCTGATACGCAATGAATCTTCTCAAATTCATCTTCACGTTGTCAAGAACACACAGTTGATCTGTACTATACTGTCTTTTCCCTTCTTTTCGCATCTGTAAAAACAAAAAATACATACTTTACTAATTGACAAGTTTCTCCTATTAGATCACCTGAAGTTTACAGTAATTGTATTTAGGTCTTCTATCAAGAGGCATGCTACCCATGCCTTTTGAGAATTTCAACGTGTTCACATGTGCACATGCGTAGCTAGCAATTATTTCTGCAAGTCAATTTAATGAAATACCTCTCCGCCTAAAACTAGACTGCTACTGGCATGCTATTTCACTCTAAATCTAAAACATACACTTATTTTCTATAGCTTTTTATATGAAACACCTTGCACCTCTAACTAATCAAACAACTGTAATGCTATCAGGGTATGTATTTTGTGTGTATAGTGCTTAGCTTTAAGACTATGAAAGTCACTCCTCAGGCTTCATCTGGCTAAGGAAACAACATATTGAAGGCCGTTCTTTATTTAAGACAAGGATGTACTTAAAATTACAGTTTAGAATTTTGGGCTTGTGATCGTTGAAAATACAGAATACATGATGTATTTTAATTAATCAACAACAGACCAAAAATGTCCACCTGCAACTACAGCAAGTTAAAACCATGAGATGTCAATGTAACTTCAGAAGAGACTTCCCTCCCAACAATTTAGCTGTTCTCCTCCAGAGATATCTGCAGGATTTTTTTTTTTACAAGGGTTTCAGAACAATACAGTGATTTGGACATCAATAATGCTGATGGTGTGATGCAGATGTTGCAATGCAAATGCTGCACCGTTACCTTGACGGTTCCATGAACTGCAAGGTTAAGTGTATTTGCCTTCCTTCAAAGCAAAATATCAGAAATTCAATTATTTGTTTTCTTTTTTTGGTGATTTTATAAAGCCATACATTCCTACTTAATTCTCTTTTCTAGCAGCCCAAACCTCAAAGCTTTAACCCGCATGGTGTGTTGAGACCCTGAGCTGGCTGCATTTGATGCCTACCCTCATTTTGAACACTGGCTGGAATTCTTTCAGTGCTGGAAGCAACTTGATCTCTACTGCCGCCTTTTCTGCTTCTTTACCATCTGCAAATACATCAAAAAGTGCATCCAAGGCTTCCCCTGCTACCACAAGAGAAGATTCCTTCATAGCCACCTCAAGAAGAAATTTTCCAATCATCTGAAATGAGAGAAAAAATGATTTTTCCAGCAATGCTTAAGGAAATTGAAAGAAGTATCAAAACTGGTTTTTTTAGGCTTGTAATACAAAGTGTTCTTTTTCACCTTTAGTGTTTCAGCTGTATCTTGTCCTTTTGCTAGGACGCTGCCAGAAATTCCAAGGATGCTCACTACATTCACTCTAACACTGGCATTGGTGCTGTGAATACCAGCTTCACATAAAGCCAATAGCTGCTCAGGAGTCATACACTGCTTAGCACAAAGGGGGCGGGGAGAAAAAAAAGAAGGAAGACAAGACATATTGACATTTTAATGGAAATTCTCAACTGTGACATTTAGATCATTTGCTTTTACAGAACACAGGCAAATTTATAACAGAGAATCAGAGTCTCCTGTATTATGAAAACTACACGAATTCTAAAAATGTAATCAGCAAGAAAACAGTTAAACTCTCCCTTTCAACTTAAGGTGTTTCTTCCAGAACACAAGCAAGGCTGTCATGAAGCTGAAGGAAAAAGTTCTGAGCCCAAAGGGATTTTCACAAATTTACCTAGCTCGATAGCTGTTTCCAACCCATTACAACTTATAGAAGCTCATTTTTCAGTTTCAAGCCAGAAAGGACTAGCGGACCATCTACTATTACGTCTTGTATAACAAACTATTATGCTTCATTCCTATATTTGGCTCACTAATTCATGTCCAACCAAGATTCTACAACAACCACCAGCTTCAACTAGATGACATCAAGAAATAAAGAATCCACATTTCTAAGTGCTAATTTACTAAATGCTTGCCATTATATCCATCTCCTAAAGCTACTGCCTGTGGCCTATTGCTATTTTGGTTTTGAAACACCTTTCATCTGTTTACATGTTAAAGGAGGGGATATATGAAAAAGTATTCCTGTAAGGTTCTTGAAAAATACAGAGTGAATACTATTAAATCTGTTCTTTCTGTGTTCATAGTTGCTGAAATTTAGCACTTCATTTAAATGGTTCTGTTTCAAAAACTTTCCAGCACAATCTCACATGAATTTGAACCTACCAGAGCATTTGAGTTTGAAAGCTTTTACCTGGGAGATGTTCTTTGATGCCATTGTTTGTAGGAGAGCCCTCAAAGCGCTGGTTATGGCTTCCAAGAATTCTGTGTCTGTAGGGAGTTCTGTCAAAAAATTGAACCCAGAGCCAAAAGTTAAACAGGAAGATGAAGGATACGAGAAGCAAAACAAATACAAATTCCTTAATCCCTCAATTGTTCCTCCAGGTACTACCACAAACAGGAAGAGCTAGATTTTCAGAGACTGGTCTTTGTAGGTTGTAACCATAGTGATTTGTTTGAATTCAGTATGAATTGCATCTGGAGGTTAGACCACAGCTGGTCCTCATTTGCAGGCATATCACTGGTTAAGACACTTGTGTGACACCTAACATATGGTACAAACCACCGCCATCAGAACAGAAGCTTGAAAACTGGTACATGGAGGCCATGATACAGGAACTAAGAAAGCTACAGAAGCTGACTGCATACTTTAACTCCTTCCTTCTGTCTTGTAAGCAGGATTTTTAGACACCCAGAACACTGGACTCTTTCCAGTTCATGTAAAGAGCATGTTTTCTGGTGGTTTAATAACCTTTCAGAGACGTACGATTCAAACACTGCATTATTCTTGTTTAACTACAAATTCATCAATACCAGCCATCATCTTAAATACATGTTCTGTGTTTCTTGAAGCTTTTTTTTTTCCCTCTAACGTGTTCTTATTTTTTGGACTACTCCAAGTGCAGAAACTCTCTGTATCTCCTCCTTTCCCCTGTAAGCAACCAGATCTTTATGCCTCTTTTTTCACCCTGTAAACCACAGGATTCCTTCTAACCACATGTTGGTATGTTATCAACTCTGTCTGGCAGTTTCCATTACATAGCATTTAACTATTAAAAAAATAGCATGGGCCATTAAACTAATTTATTAGCACCCTCTGTCTTCAGCTTCATCTAAGAACCTTCTGACTATTACGAAGCATAACATGCAGACCCTGAAAACCTGCATGTACACCCTGAAGTCCGGCTCTTCAAGCATGAGACAAATATTTTATGTCAACTTCCTTGCATATGTCTTCATACTTATTTTAATTTCTTGCATTTTAGTTTTTCAAGCACTACAGTCTCAGCCATAATGTTCCCATAGACAGATCACGTGCTTTTAATGACACTGAGAAAAAAAAGCGTGTTTTGCAGGCAGATGCATTTTCAAGCATTAATGCTGTGTCATACTATACACTACAGTGAATAAGAACTACCTACGCCGCATTTGTGGCTGCAAATGAAGATGCTTGAAGGAGGGGAAGAAAACTGAGTTCTCAAGCTTCTAAGAGACAAGAAATGACAAAGCCATGCATATGCTAGACTTCAACAGATCTGTCTTAGGAAAAATGTTTTCTGACAATTTTGAGAATTGGCAAGCTTTTCCAGCCTCTAAGAACGTCTCTTATTTTCTGAAAAGCCATCATCACTGACCTTAAAATAAAAACAGATTATCAGGACAGTCCAAACATTTTTTATTTTTTTTTTAATCTCAGTTCAGCTTCTCTGGTGTCAGTAACAGAGAGATCATAGCGTAAATGGTCCAACAGTATTATTGGAATGATGCTGATTTGATGTGTAAGATTACAGGAGGTAGCTGGAAATGCTAACTGGTACATATCTTCACTAGACCATTCAATGATACTGATACTAGCAGATCTATGGGGAAACCAACACAGTATCTCTGTGAAATAATGTGCCTTGGAGGAACTACAGTGGATATGTTGTAGTGTTTACCAGGAAATAGCTGATATTCTAAAATACTACTTTTAGAAAATTAAAATTTATTGCCTTCTCCATTGAAATTGAACCACCACCATAACAGGAAGTTAAGCAGTTTTAATATTTAGTCATAAAAACTTTGCACATTTTCTTATTACATATGTATTTTCAATAAAGCTGTGCAATCATAGGCATAAAGCCATATCCTGGAGACAAGGCGGCTGCTATCTTTCCTACTGTAATAACCATGTACATTGTGGAGATTTTTGCAACAACCCCCTTTGCAATAATAAGGTTCCTAGAAAAAACGATGTGACAGACTGTGCTAGATAGCCTTTTGTTCACACATCTATTTAGGCTAGTTTGCACATTTAAAATGAAAACGTCCCATCTTCTTCATGGCTTGTCTGACTGATGAAAAACCGCTGTTAACACAAATGTGATCAAGCAAACAGTTCTGGTCTCACAATAAGGCAGGATTCATCCACTAACTTAGTGACTTTCTGCATGCACACACACAGACATAAAGCATATTCTTGCACTAGGACCATACTTGCTCAAGATGCAATTTGGATAAAGACATCTTATGAGGATACACTGTTCTATCAGTACATTTCCAACCCTCAGTATCCTTATTTTGAAAGACCAAAGAGATAAAATTAGTAACAAAATGGCATTAAAACTTAACAATTCACATGGCTACCTTATACCTATATGAAATAGGTCAGCAAGCTCCCTTTACATCTTACCCGTTTTAGAAAAAACTAGCTGCGAGAGATGCTGTGCAAGGGACTGAAGTGCTGCAGCTCCTCCAAGACAATCCACATCCGACACTAACAAAATGCTATGAAGACACGTTAAAGCTCTACACTGCACTGCATTCAGTCTGAAACAAACAAAAAATGCACTTAGCAGATCTCTTTGAAAACAGATGTCGAAATGCAAAGAAGGATCTTGAATTAAATAAGGCTGTGATCCAACGGGCAGTTTACACAAACATTTGTTTCTCTTTATTCAAAATCACGTATCAGATCTGCCATTGACCAGATCTTGAGAGCAACCCAAAGATGGACAATCCTTCTAAGAGTTCTAAAACAACTGAATATACATGAAATACAGTAAGAGAGACAATGAAATTCCTACTTTTTAATTAATGGTTTCCAAGACGGATTGTGCATACAGATGTCTAGAGCAACACTGTTCGGAAAAGCAGTTTTTTCAAGAATCTGGGGAGGGGAAAAAGAAAGGTTTAGCAATAAAGCTTGCTTTTTTTTTTTTTTTTACTTTTTTCTTTAGGTGTGTTTCAGGGGAAGACTGAAATTTTAGGTTAATGTCAAACAGATACATCAAACTACATGTTTCAAAGCTTTCCAGGTAGCAAATGTCTCACCTGCTAAAAATGCCAGAATCTTCCTCAGTCACTCAAATGTTGCAATTATACACTGGGTTTAGCATAGCATATTTTAAGTATCCAACTGTACTGAACAAAAGGTGATTTTCTAGGTCTCTGCTATTCTTTTTTATTTAGTTCTTTCTTCTTACAGATTGTGCTACAGAATTTTCAGATAGCTGTAAGCCTAAAAGACCTTGCCATGAAATTTAGACTGCTTGCTATTAAGTACAAAAAGCCTTGAATCATCTCACGCCTTGATGTCTGAGGTCAGAATTCTACCACACTGCCGAACTAGCATAATAAATGATGAACTTCATCTTTACAACCCCAAATAAGAACGACCAAAACTCTGAAAGGAGAACATCTGAATTCTTGTCAGTATCAAATATTGTACTTTGACACTATGTATAAAATAGGGGGAAAGAGGAAAGGAGGAAGTCACACTTTTTCAGTGCCGACTGTTGCCATTCACATAAGTTAGATCCACCTCACTTAGCTAATATGGAAATCTGGCAGTCATGCTTCTACTCAAAGTTTCCTTTCTTTTTGCAGGTAATCTTTTTCATGTCCAAGTCAAGGAATAACCTCTGTATTTTGGAAAAGCCAAACTGAAAAAAAAAAAAAAAGAAAGGCACCAGATTTCTGAAACACATGAACCTTCTATTCCCACTTACATGAAGAAATTATTTAGGTCAAGAAAGACAGCTTATGTGATGATGAGACCTCTAGACCAGTAAAAGTGAAGCTAAACTGACTTAAAAAAACATTCTTTTTCTGGATGGGGATAATTTGTTCACCTAACCTGGGGTACAAATCAGGCACGAGGAAAAGCGTACGATGTGTTGGAAATAAAATGAAAGACAATACCTTCTTTGGAATGAGGTTGTTCAGAAATGCTGAGTTAACCTCATCAGAGAGGCACAGAGGTGACATTAGCAGCCCACCCCCCTCATTGTATGAGTTTTCCATAAATAAGTCGCTTTCATCACTGCTGGAGAGTTCTTCCCATTCGTCATCAGAGGGATCTGAGAACAGAAGACAGACTTGTAAATGTAACATCACTCACACGATAGGTATCCTACTTCTCAATTAAACTTGGCTCCAGCTCTTGGTTTAGGAGCCTTTAAGCTCTTGGGCTCTAATGAAGTCCACACAAGCCACATGCCATTAAGCCACAGTTCTAAATATTGTACTACTTTTGTTTTAATTGTTTTATTTAAAAAAAAATTATTTTATATTCACTCAGGCAACAACTATTCTGATGAGAGAGGTTCTTCATACACGGGTACTTCATTCTCTCATTATGCTTCACTTAAAGATATCAAAAAATGTACAGAAGAAACATTTCATAAAGAATTTATTAGGATTTTAACTTGGATCGTACCATTTTACTTTCTGAGGTAGATTCAAGCATGCAAATACACCGGTTTAACTTAATGTGTTTACTAACTGCAACCAGTTTAAGGCAACTGTTTTCTCTAGCAATGCTGAAGCCACAGACAGATGTCCTCTGACCGGGCAGTAACAGGCTGGACGCAGGTGTTACTGTCTCCACAGCAAGGCCAGTCGAAAGGAAATGACAACAGCAAAACAAGACAAAGCAAGCCAGATCATCTCTGTTAGCCATTTCAGGCAACATATTTTAAGTAAATTAAACTAGGTTTATAGTTATGAACCTGAACTAGGTTTATACTTCCATGATTTTCTCCACTAGCAGATCTGTAAGGGCAGACATGGCGAGAGGGGTTCAGGCAGTGTTACCAACAGGCACAGCTACTGTAAAGTGAATAATCTGTTCGTGGCTTAAGGCAGACTTGGCCTGACATGCACAAGCTAAGTCCATCATTTATATTTAATCTGATATACCTACATCCACAGGGTTTACACTGATTTATTTAAACTTGTTTTAAACCTGGTTACATTTTAACTGGTGTAACACTGGTGTTTACGCAAGTCCTAAGTCTACAGGTTGGACTGATCCTCCTCACTGACAGGTGAAAGCTCTGCCTCTGTACATAGGTCAGGATATTTAACTACTGTGATGAAAAAATATCATATTCATCCTCAAGTCTGTGATGAAAAAATATCATATTCATCCTCAAGTAATTTTGTCTGACAACACAGATTCACGTGACATCCAAGTACTGTAGTAACTACAGTAACAGCCACGCACTTTTTCTGTGGCAAAAGGTAAATTCATTCACTTAAAATACAGCAAGAAAGGTCTAAATGAATGCATTTCACCTGCACTGTGCAGCAGCTTAAGAATTTATTTGAAGGTGATGACTACTATTGATCTGATGCAAAGTAACTGATCAGGCTGTGGCAACTTGAACACACAGGCATCTTCTTTTGCTTATAGTAATATCCAATTAATTCTACAGCCATAACATGCTAGTGTTAATAGCCTTTGCATGAGAAAACAGTTGTCTTCCATCCTTTACTAACCCACGGCAGCAACAAGCATGAAAACAGAGCTGACGTCCCTCTTTCAGTCAGTCTCTTGCCTCTTCTTAAAAAAATTCCATCTGCATCTTTACAAAGCAAAGCAAACAAAAATCTCCTTTGAAAATTAAGTAACGATATGAGCTGACCATGTAATTCAGCAACAACAAAGACAACAGTTGTCGTGTGTTCACAGTGAGCGACCAGGGCAGAGCAGGAACCGGACTCTGGAACATTAGCCCATAACTAAGATCAGGTCTCTCGTAACATTCTTGGAAATTCAGAAGCATTTCCAACAGCAATCCCATCTTAACTAGCACTGGTAACCTGCGACCTACAGACTGGACAGCAATGCTGGAGTCTCCTGGATTCCTTCCCGTGTCCTCGTTAAGGGGAGAGCGCCCTGCTTCTTCCAAATGCTGGCCAGCATTCAGTAAAACACGTCTCTTGCCAGCCTGGTTGTTTCCCTCAGTTCTGTAGCAAGCTGAATGTTTCTATGAACTCAGCATAATGGCTAAAGCTATTTTAGTCCTCAAATAACTCGAAAATTAAATGAACAGCTGCCTCTGGATTCCTCTTAATTTCTACAGACTATGTTTCTGTCTGCCCATGAATGGGTAAAGTACTGTAGTGAAACACAACACAATCAACCTTACATTACACTGAGTGAATGGCAGAATACGCAGCTTATCCACAAGAGATTTTCCAATTAAAGGGAAGAGCTTATGAATTACAGCTCATTAGATGAGAAATGCAGTTATGAAATGAGCTTCATATACTAGGTGCAGAATTTCCTTGCGATGCAAGAGAAAAAAAAAAAAAAAGTCACCGTTGGGAATATCTGGGTATTACTGTGGATTTTATTAGAACCTGAAAGATTTACTTAGAAAGTTATCTCCTACACGATTACTTTTGCATCAGGCTCAGGAACTGTACTAGCAATTACAATTTTCAGCTTTTGGAGGAGGTTTTTTTTTTTTTAGTTTTGGGGCATTTGTTTGTTTGTTTGTTTTAAACAGAATCTGAGAATAATTTATTTGTTTTGAGAAAAGCTACGAAAATCAAGTACCAGAGCTCATAGAAGATCCAGAATATCTATTTCCTGCTCCCCCCAGAGTAACAACCTTTCTTTCTGCTCCAAAAAAGCTCATAAAGTTGGAATTCTGAACAGCCTAAATCTGCATTGCTGCCAGATCTGCATGCAAAAGCTGTCTCTCCTGCTTCTTTTGGCACTTGTAGTATCAAAACTAAATCAAACCTAAAATATTTATCTGCTTTAAAAAAAATGATGTCCCAGCCCTGAAACAGGATTCACACCCATACTGTATCAGCTGGACACTCAGACCACACTCTAACTGAACACAGAATTTGCTGTAATACTTTTTAGAAAATATCTTTTTGGCAGAAGTGCTTTTCTGTTTGTTTTTAAATGTTGGCACATGTATTATCATGCAAAAAATATGTAAGCTATAGAAATTATTTAAATGATAAAAAACCCCACTCGAATTAGTAGTAGAAATTACAATCTAATCTACCCCCTAGATGAGGGTGTCAGGGACAAGTATATATGCACTCACCCTTAAAAGCTAAGAACACCAAACAGCAAACTAAACTTGACCTATTCCAGGAAAAAAAAAGTACCGCAACACTTGCAATGAAAGAGATTCCTACAAACCTTCACTGCAGCACATATTAACAATGATTTCCAGAGCAGTCTGCTGAGCCATCAGTAAAGCTGTCACTTCTTTCAGTTCCCACTTATCAGACTAAAAAAGAAAAATATGAACCAAATTTAATTTTGCAAAACATTTTGGCACAATTTAAAGTACCCAGGCTGTCAGTTAAAAATACAATCTAGGCATTTCCTCTTCTCATCCCACCCCACGAAAAAAAAAAAAAAAGGCAACAAAACCAACAGGCAAACAAACCCTTAATCTTTCTGCTGGATGCTTCAGAACAAATTTTACCTTGCCACCTGCACTACAGTTGTAACAGAAAAGATTACTTGATGTTAGCTAAAGCCCTAAGAAAAATTTATTTATTTCTGATATTTGTCTCATGTACACAATAGTGAATGCATTCGTTAACCTCTGTGTCATCTCCACTCACAACTGAATGGTTACAACCATTAAAAGTCTCACTCACCTTACACAGTAGCTACAGGGAACAGTGTCAGATAAGCCTATACCTTCCACTAGAGCAAAAAAATGGAAACGCGCTTTCCTGATGTGCCATGCAACTTGCTCACATTTGAACAAGTTGAGCTGAAATTCTCCATATTCTTCTTTGAAGTTTTAGGTAAAATAGTCATTTGGGAGTTAGGATTACTAACACCAGTAGGTAGCTACTCTGGCTAACGATCAGTCAAGACCAGTCAGATGCTCAGCCAAATGCACTAAGCTCTCCGAGAGCGAGCAAGCAGGCCAGGCACACTTACTGGAAGTAGGTCTGAAATGTCATTTTCTCTTCTCACTTTTCCTTTTGGTATTTCTTCCATGTCATCATCTTCAATCAAAACACAGTTGTCTATAACATCAGTTATGTTTTCCTCAGTTTCTGCCTCCGCAGCAAGTTTTAACCTTTTTTTTTCAGCTTCATTCATACAAATAATTGTTTCGCCAGCATCTATTGCTAATGATTCTGAAAAAATTTTCAGGATTGCATTAACCATGCTTCCCAGGCTGCCTGGTGGAATGGTATCCTTGATATTCCAGATAGTGCCTAAACATGAGATAGTTGAAATATAAAAATCTGTTAAAATACTCAATTCCCAGCTCTGTAATAGCCATATATTTTGTAAAGACACAAACTCCACTAGTTAAAATACTCAGTAATTATATTTCAGTATGAATGTTCTAGTCTTTTCTCTACAGACTTGTGTATTTTTTTCTGTTTAACATTTCATGTACTGATCTGTAACAAGTACGTTATGCCCTCATCTTAAGCTTAAGTAAATTTCAGCATGTAAGGATAAGCAGAATATTTATGCGACACAATCTTGGTGACACTTTTAACCTGTGATAACAAATCCACAAGAGAACCATTTTCTAAGGATTCTCAAAATTAAACTACTTTATTACAATCCAGTATCAAAAATCACCACGGTTGAGCATTTGAGGTGGAAAGAAGAATGCAAGGTAGAGAATCCAAGGTAAAAAACCTACACCTATTAAGGTCAAAACAATTCCCATACTACTTATTATTGACTCATTTCGCTGTTGAAAACCAAATGAACAGTTAGAATGGGTTTTCACACTGAGCAGATACTGAATCCACAATCAAGCATTTAAGACAGTTTTGAACACAATCCCAAGAGGCACAAATAACCTTGTGAACCATCTACCCAGGCTTTGAAGATCAGGTGTCCAGACTACAGCAGAAAAGACTAAGCCTTCTGTCCTTCCCACCTTCCTTTACCTTCCATGCTCTCCATCACAAACCAACGAACGCCCTCGAGCATCGTACCTGCTATCAGTGTTCTCAGAAGGATATGCTTCATTGTGCTCTCTGGACACAACATCACTGTTTCCAATGCTTGTTGGGCAGAAGCATTGAATGAAGAAAGAAGATCTGGATTATCTTCTGTCACTGCCTGCAAGCAGTTTGCTGCAGCAAACAACAACAACAACAAAAGATAATTAACAAACCCAAGAGTACCTTTCACTTTCCTAATGAGAAAGCATTATCTTCCTGAAAGCTGGAGTAATGAAAGAGACACGGGGAAAAAAACATTTCCTGCAGCATCATGTTGTAATGGTACGACACTGTCCTTCACAAATGGCGTTTTAGATTAAAAGACATTCTCTGGCAAACCTGTAGGTAAAACAGGTGAGGACAGTACCACATCAGACATGGGGATAGCCGTATTAATTTTACTACTCAAAATTCAATTTCTCCCTTGTATACTGACTATGGAAAACACCAAAAAATGGTGCAAGCACATACGCTTGTAAAGACCATTTTAAGACTATAATAACAATACTACTAATAAAAACACACTGAAAGTGATAGGAGTTGTTTGGGGTTTTTTTAGATGGACTATGTCCTTTGCTCTACTAATTAAACCCTTCATTACCGAAACCAGAAGACAAAATTAAAAACACAGCCTCCATCTAGAGCTTTCTTTTCCACAAAATTTTTCCTCCCATGTAACCACCGGTAAGTCATTCTCCTTTGGACCGAAAACAAGCACAATAAATGTCAACTTCTGAATGATGTGCTGTTCAGGAAGGAATTTAAAGTCTTACATTCAATGTAAAGTTTAAGTAATGCTAAGGCAGGTGCATTATGCAATGGATGTCACATCAGTGTTACATTCATACGACAAAGAAAAAAACCAAACCTTTAAATCCTTATCTTCTTTTTACCACTTACCTACTGAAATAGCCAGATCCACATTCGTGGAAAATTTCTTCATGTAATGTAACACAGCCTCCAGACATCCTTCTTTATTGAATATGGATACTGCAGTATTGTTGCATTCACTAATGCATAAAAAAAGATTAATAAAACACTTTTCCCTGGAAAAAAATACTGTGACAACATTTTAAGACAACATGTACTCACTACCACTCACATGTTAAAAACCTACTTAAGAATTACATGTTAGTCAAAGAGCTATCCTTTGTTATCAAAGTTATGATCAACTGTACATAAAATGGAGAAAGAGAAGCTGAAATACCCTGGACACCTTTGAGCAAAGCTGGCTTCTGCCAGCTGCTTCCTCACACACAGTATTTGGGAGCTTATTTTGGAGCCTACAGAGCCAGCCACAGCTTGAAAGGTAGCTTATAGCTGTGGGCTACAAGCCAGCCCAGGGCTTTCTGCAGCCATGGAAGACTTCATCCACAACCCACTGACACCAGAGTGGGCTGTTGCCTCTCACATCAATATTCGCTTACTCCAGAAAATGACTGCTCTTAACATTCAGAAATGCATGCTAAATCAATGCCAAATGTGACATTTACTTTAATTATCTAACAGGAGGATTTATGTTTCTTCAATTTTTCACAGGTATTCCCACTCTTAAACTAATATACTGATACAAGACAAATTCAAACTAAAAAAGCATGGGACCTAACTAGCTACAAGTGTCTTCAAAAATTTACTTTTGAAAATATTGTGTCTCAGCATCAATGGCAGCCCCAATTTTACCAGTACCAAACTTAGCAATGAATTCAGCAGTTCACGGTCCTTGCCAAAAAGTTCAAAATACAGAAGTGATTTATAGCACACTTAATGATAATAGTTCCTGTTCCAAAGCACTTATGTCTACAAAAGCAATCCAAAAAATGAACACAAAACATTGTTGAGTCAGAGTTACAAAGGGTCATGTATTCTGTGTAGGGTGCTGAGCAAGCAGTTTCTGTACAGTTCTAGATTGCAATCCCTAAAAAAAAAAAAAAAAAATTTTAAAAAAAAGGCCCAAAACCCCCCAGCCATACCATAGAGACACAGAGGCAGCTCCACTTCAATGTTTATAGCCATTTCTGGATTAAGTGTTACTACTTCTCTTCCTTCACCTGGTGTTTCCAATGAAAACTACTAACAATTCACATTCTTTCTCACATCATTAAGTAGATTTGTATCAGTGCCTCAAGTCACTAAGGGATAGTTTGTCCAAACATCTAACATTAACTTTTGGGATGATCTGCAGAGGGAGGAAGTAGTACAAAAACTCCTCATATTCCCACAGCAATGGGAGTCCTCTGATAATTTAATTTTCTCCATCTCTTGTATCATGATAGGGATCTACAGGAATTGCCTGCAAAACCCCACAACCCAAACTGTACTAGGAGACTATGACAGAACATGTTCAGAAAAAAATATCAGAACTTAAGATGAACAACCAATAGAAAAAAAAAAATAAGTCACTCTCCTAAAACTAATGACCAACTTTGTGCACTTCTAGAATCCTTCACTTACAAAAGTAATTTATGGTAGAAGATAAACTTGTGTTTCAGATCAGATGAGGGCTTTGCCATTTATTAAGCAAGGCACTCGTAGTAGCAACACAATCAGAAATCAGAATCAGCAACTGAATACATGTTCCCATGCAAGAACAATCATTTCTTTTCTGCCTCAATTACCATGCTCTTTTTCAGGAACAATTTAATTTAGCTCTTCTAAAAGGACCAGTGTTTACACAGCACTTACCATACATTCCACAGCAAATTAATAGCCTCATTGGCTATGTCTTCAATATAATTTTTGTTCATCTCTCTGCATTTCTTTGGAGAGAGCTGGTTAGCATCTAGTCCAGTGCTACACTACAACCAAACAAGAGAACCAGGGTTGGGAAACAAACAAGCCAAAAAGAAAAGCAAAAACTTAAAACATTAGCAGCAGAATGAATGGAGAGATCTCCCATGAAGTGTTTATTACCAAAAAACTTGACTAGTTTCCCATTCTCTATGAAAACTGGACTACAATGGAATTGAATCATTGATATTTTTTTTTCCTTTATAGCAAGACTCTTGCAGGACTTGCTTTGCAATAGTCTTCAGAAGCATTTTTTTAATAAAGAAATACTTCGCAATTTTAGAACCTGAAATGCTGTTTCTTGCTAACACAGTCTGTATGCAATTTTCAACAGTTCTTTCTAATCACAAAGATTAATTCAGCTAATATCTTGCTGTGCTTTACAATAATGCTATTACCCATATTTTAAAATGGGGAAGAAACATACAGAAAATGACGGTATTGCTCAAGGCTGCTCATACAAAGACAGCAGGTGACAGAATTCAATGCAATTTCCAAACTGCACTGCAACACCTGGACCAAACAAAGAACAGGTATTCAGTACAGATTATTCTACAACAGCAGTAACTACGCAACTGTAAGTCCAAGCTTTCATTTAGACAAAATTGTTTACCAAAAAAACCTCGTTAGAATAACATTGCAACATAAATGTTGGATCTGGATCTTGACTGACAGAATAGACTTGTCTTGACTGACATTCCAGACACAAAATCTCCAGACTGTTTATGCAAAAATCATCCCAGGCAGCAGACCTCACCACAGACCCAAGTTAGCAGGTCAGGAGGATGAAGCAAGTGGTTTGAAATCTCTGGAATAATTTCTGTACTATTAAGCCTACTGAAACATTCTTTCTAAAGATCTTTCAAATATCTTATCTTGATAAGTGACCTATTTTTGAAAATGGGATAATTCAATGGCTAGATCAGTTTTAAAATCAGAACAAAAATAAACACACCTCTTTCAGAAGCGCAACAAGGGGTGTCATGATGTCTTTTGTCACCATGTCATCACAGACTTCAAATCCTCCACAAGCACTCAGATTTCTGGGGAAAAAAAATGCTTTGGATCAGATATACTTTCCAGGAATGTTTAAAAAAACTCGTGCATTTGGTGTTCTTCTCTAAAGGTTATGGTACTTTTTGTTTTAAAATCAATCTGCTTCATCAGTAACTTCACTCTTCTACCTTCCTAACATAAAAGAATAACTTTGGTGTTAGGAAAAAAGAAAATTATTTTCACTTACTTGTCTATCGTAACTAGAAAGCTTATCGGTACTGAAACAAGACTTCTGTCAGGTGTTACTCAGTGTAAGAGACAACATGAACAAGTATTAGCATTACATTTTTGTACAAATAAAGCAACCTCTAGGTCTGACTGCAGAATACCAACTCAAAATGATGCTGTTCAATATTTAGAAGTTTCTGAAAAAGTCATCTACGTGCATTCTCTAGCTAAGCCACCACTCCTACAGTGTTATCAAGACACAAAATGTCATACCGACAGCAATCAAGTTCTCTGTATTTCTTCATCCTACTGTTGATTTTTTTCCTAACATAAGGATTGAAAGCAGCCCATTCCACTGGGAGTAGACAAAACAGTAGTAACTAACTTAAACCCTGCTCCTGACAATAAAGTTTCATGGCAGCCTACTGGAGCAAGAAAAGGCCCTCTCTCGGGGACTTCAACTGACATAGGCATAATTATTCAAAACGGTGTGGAAGCAAGAGAGGCTGGCATTGAAGTTCAGGGTTTTTAACAGCAAAACACTTCTTTACCACGCCAGGAGTACCTCATTCTAACTGCATATTAACAATTGCTTACCGGAGAGCACCTGCAGCTGTCTCGCGAACAGCTAAGCTGTGATCCATCAACAACGGTCCTAAGCACCGGACGACGTCTCTCTGCAGAAAGGCTGGGATTACATGCTTCTGCTGCAACAGCTTGGAAATACTGGCACAGGCATACTCTCTCACTTCAGCGCTTGGGTGCTGCAGCTGGGGAGGCACAAACAAAGCAGATTACGGACAAGGGAAAAGGTAGCTGGAAGTTTTTATGGAGTGAAAAGACTGATCTGCCTTTTGATTTGCAGGCCCAGCACCATAGCTTCTTCTGTTTTACTGCTCCTGAATGGAATCAAGAGCTTTTAACTTCCATGGAAGTTCATAAGTCTTTGCCTGGGTTATGTGTGTTAACTATACGACTAGATAAATACTATTTTGGATGTTTAACAAGAGAACCATAGTTCAGACACAGATTTGACACTAGCTGGCACTGGTGAGACCTCCTATCTACTTTCAATTACCACGTTTAAAAAAAAAAGAAATGGACAAAAGTGGGGGGAAAATACCATCAAGGAAGTATAACAGACAATGTGCCATCATAAAGAAAAGCTGAAGAACCAGAAAATACAAAAAAAACCATAACAGCTTTTAAACTAAAAACACCTGCTTAAAGACAAGGAGCAAGCGTGCTCTACATCCACGACACAGCACTGACTTGTGCTGTAACAGAGGTTTAGGTGAGATGTAAGAATTGCAAACCATAAAATAAAACAGCAGAAGTAGCTATCCTGGAAGGTCATGGAATTCGTTGAAAACCTAACAGAAAAGATAAACATCTGCTGAAGAGCGGAGTGGAAAAGGGGTGTACATCAGATCCTGCCTCACTGAAACTGGTAGAGGTCCCTCAGTTCATCATCACCTGTGCATTTATATATTCTTTTTGCCTTTTTTTTTTAAGGACTAAATAGGTTAGGCCAGAAGGAAAATCAAGCAGTGACTTGTTCAATGAGTTCAGATAAGCAAAGTGAACAAAAGGGATTTATTCACTTAAAGGAAAACAGATTTCTACTTCTGATTCTAAAGTCACATGCACAGGAGGAGGTTTAAACTAGTTTCCATCTGTGATACTTAAACCAAAACCAGGAGCGTGGCCAAGCCCCGTCTTTTTCAGCATTTTCTATCAGTTACTTTTCACGTGTGGATCTTGGACTCATCGCCCTGGCTACCTGCAGGAAAACTCTCCAGCCGCGTAGCCTGACCCCCAGCACGGCAAGAGCCGCTTCAAAGCGCCTCCTGGGACCGGGGACACGGAGCAGCCCCCCGCCCCGCCCCAGCTCCTCTGAGCCGCTCAGGAAGGAGAACGACGGCCCGGAGGCGGGGACCAGGCCCCTCGC